GTGGAGCGTCCGTAAAACACACACTGTACTAAAAGTATTCGTAGTGAAGACTTGAAACTTGGTGGATGTCTGCTACATAGGTGTGACCTAAAGTGGCCGAAGTTTGGTGATGATCTGAATAAAACTTCCGAAGTTATTCGAATTTTGGTGATGACCGTTTTTTTTTTGTGTCACCCTGTATTTAAAGAAATGTTTTGTTTTTCCTTCTTAGCTGTTGAAATTTCTTGAAAGCCAACACAACACAACACACCATGCGCACATGACAGAGGTCTCCATCACTGCGGAAGGAAGATCGCAATGCTGCTTGCAGGCTGTTGACAGAAAGTGATCAGTAAGTTATGACCCTATGCATAATGCTATTTTTTTTTTGTATACAGGGAGTTGGTCAGAGATTGAACATGTCTCAGCATCATATATTTGAATGCTGATAATTATGTATACGAGCATTGACCAATCAATTGAAACTAGAAAAGTAGATAAGTGCTTAACAAAATGGATTGGTGAAGATTAGATTGGCTATATAAAGCATGCAATGTTGACTACATAACATACTGCATAAAAATGTAGTCTGTTCCATATTATGTTTGCGCCTATGGTCAAAGCTGCTTCTTCAATTTGCTTCTTCGTTCAATGTAGGGATGTAGCCAAGGGGGTGGCCACGGGTGTCATGATCTCCCCCAAAGGCGAGAAATTAAATAAAATGAAATAAAAATAAATAAAAACAGCTGTACCATACCCCCAAAAATAGTGGGCCAAATCCGAGTTTTCCTTTTTGGAGGGGGTACGACACTAGGCCGCAACCTGTGGCCCCTCCCTCAGTAAAATCTTGGCTATGGCTCAATAATTTGAGTCTATGCTTTATGTCTATGACTATTCTATACAGGAGCTATGCAATCCTGTTTTCTTTCTAGGTTCATGCTGTTCTGAGGTGAAACATTTTCCTGGCATGGTGGCACTTTGTCAGTGTGGGGTGAGGTAGGCATCCACTGTGATGTGACTGACCCTGTCGGCTCCCACTCCCCCTCTGACCCGGCCATGCGTCCCGCCAGGTTGTCGTGTTCCGCCAGCTGCTGCGCCGGCGTTGGCAGCGCACAGCCGCTACCAGCTGACACGCCGACCGGTGCGCGGCGCGCGTGCGCCGGGCGCCGACGGCCGTCGTCTGGCAGCAACAGCGCTGCCAGTGACTCGCGCTGCTGCAGCAGAAATTGGACAAGGATCGTAGAATCCTGGCGTTCCATCCATAATAGTCCATCCCAGGCGGCCTAGTCGGAGAACAAACCCATCGGCACCGGCGGCGGGCGCGCGCACATCGGCACCGGCGGCGGGCGCGCGCACATCGGCACCGGCGGCCGGTCACCGACGGATGACCGTTTTAGTGGCTGCGGCAATAAAGATAACAATAGTTTAATTACTTGCATGAATGCATTGATTTCAGCGAGTAGGAATACATAGTTACACGTAGTGCGTACTCCACCCGCACGAAGTGCGTACTCTTGTACTGCCTATCGGGCAAGAGTACGCAAATGCAGGGTGTTAGAAAATTGCTTACGGTCACGCTTTAAATTGGACGTAGGCCGCTGTGGTCATGACAATTTGTGGGCAAATGATCAGGCTTTATCGAAATTTACTGATCGTAGCTATAAACCAAAACCGAACGGCGTGAGACGACAAAATGCATTAGGTGCGTAGGGGAGAGTGGGGTAATTTGGCCGCTTTTTTTTAGAAAACGATGTAACTAAAAATCGACAACACATTTCTGCATTTTCTCAACGCTGCCAGGTGTGGCATACATTATACTTTCCTGGACAGTAACTTGAAACGATAGAGTAACTACTTATATTGAAATTGTGACGTATTACAAAGGTCTGCAAAGCGGCCAAATTGCCCCACTAGCAGGGTTATTTGGCCGGGGGTGTGGGACAATTTGGCCGGTGTTAGTTTCAGGCCATGATTTTTGTTATAGGCGAGTCAGCTTCACATTCAGCAATGACGCGTGTCCTACGACGCATTTGAAGCATTTTGGAGGTTGACTCAGCCGCCACAGGGGTCGAAAATAGTCAAAATAGCGGCTCTAGATGCGATGACAGTTTTTTTTACGAATAGCTTTTGAAGTAATCAAGCTAGGCCAAAACTAAAAGTACCATCGTAATTCTCTCGTCATTCCGCATCGAAACATGTATGTGTTGACCTCGAGAGGTCAAGGTCAAAGGTTGGCTTCAGGTCACGTTACCTCAGGTCGCTTGACCTCAAGGTTACGTGAGTTCAAGGTCATCATATATATCATTCGATGCGCCCTGACGAGTTGAGCACAATGAGACCATTTGCGCGGCTGTATCTTTTTTCTGTAAGTATTTATTAGCAAAAACGCGTTAGGTAACCTTTGATGACGTCACATGCCCTTACAGCTGTCCAATACGAAATATGGCATCAAGGTAGTCAAAGTTGGTCATGAATTATGTCCTTTATGATATAATTGACCATGACAACCTGGCCGTCCCAGCATAGTGACTCTGAGCGCACCGGCCAAGTTGCCCCGCTAGTCCCGGCCAAATAACCCCACATTGCCATTCTGAAATTTTTGTCTATAAGTCGTCATGGCTGTACAGAACTAGATGAAATTGCTCCTGGAACCGCTGAATACCCTCAAGAATGGCGCTATAATGTTGGAATTCGTTTACAGCCCAAATACTAGTTATACAAATTTTTAAACGGAAGTAATAGTTACCATTTTCTAACGAAATTTACGTTTTATTAATTTTGAATAAAACTAAGAGGGGGAAAGTTTTGACATTTGTTCTGGAGTTAGTTCTGACGATGGCAAATGAATAGAGACTAAAGTTATTTCATTCACTTTTATCAGCTTTCGTACAGGTGGGGGCGGCCAATTTACACCACCGGCCAAATTACCCCACTCTCCCCTACTCTTGTACGGTCCTCCCCTATCAGTCAATGGGGAAAAATGAAAACTGTTATTCTGGCGCCGGGAACGATCTCCAACTATCTCAAGCACACAGAATCGTGATTTCATGCACTCCTTGCAAGGTTCCATGCGTCACTTTTGCAATGTTGACCTTGCGTGACGTCATTTATGACGTCATTTGGGTCATATTAGTTTTTCGTCAATAACTCCCGATCAATATGAGCTAGCGATTCGGGAATGCCACCAATGGACTCAAGAAGACCTGCCGTATCGAATGATATGACAAGACCCGAATATTGGTCTTGTCGACCGAAAGGGCCTAACCCAAAAAAAAAACGAATGATATGCGATATGATCTCCTTCGACCAGCTTCCTGACCCGGGGGCGCTGACCTGACCGTGACCCGAGGTCAACACTCTAAGTTGACCTCACCCAAATAAAAAGTATATCATTCGACGCGCCTGAGCAAGGCGAACACGATGCTGCCAAAATCGCGGCTCTGCGGCCGTTTTTTGCGAAGTTATTCACCAAACACCAAAAACCGAACCGTACCTTGGGGCACTTGACCTGACCTCAGAGGTCACCGGTTGACCTAGGACCTTAAAATTGGGTATCAATATCTGCGTCTTGAAATGGCGCATACGCTCGTTTCTTCCGCGACGCGCTAGCTCCACCAGGGGCGAAACGGCGAGGGGGGGGGGGTCGTACCCGCCCTCCTCCCTCGGCCGGCGCATATGTAGAAAACCAATAGGTCCGGCGCGATTAGATAGTTTTTCCTTTGCATTTTGCATTTTGCATTTTGCTCTTGCCTTTTATCGCTCCTGCGATAAAAAGAGGGCTGCCCGCGCGTTTGTGAGCGCTCCAGGACTGGCCCCGTATTTAAAAAGCACTGATCTTTCCCTCGGCGTTTCGGCTTCTAGAAAATTCCTTTCGGCTAGCAACGGTAAGATAACGCTCACGTTTGGAAAAAGAGCGTTTTTCATATCTCTCACTTCTGGACCTTCAAGGCATTTTCCCTAACTTTTCCACTGCATCTGAGTTTTCAACTCCATCTCGGACTCAGGTTTAGGATAACAGCCTGTTTGTGGCTGTTCCAGTTCCTTGCCTCGTGGTTTTTGGCACCATTTTCTTGGTCAGTTAATTTATCATCTCATTGCTCTTGCTCTTCTTACTCCTGCTCTTAGGTTAAGTCTGCTGGTCAATTTTTCAAACTGGTTCATCTTTGTCCTTCCTCTTCGGCCTTCGCTCCATTGATTTTGTACTTGTGCTCACTGCTCTGTTCCACATCTCATCTCATCTGGTATCTCACACCATCACATTGCTCCATCTCCTGGCTTAAACCCCATAGTGAGGAAACATGCCACCAAAAACAGGCAATCCTAACAGATCTGCTGGAAGTACAGCTTCAGCTAGTCAGACCACTGTGCCAGAGGGTTCAGCATTTCTGCTGGTGCGGTATGAAGATAAAACCCTCAGCTTCAAAAGCACCAGCCCCTACAAAATCAGGGACTCTCTAAAACTCATCCTGTCTAAACGGCCGGAGAAGGTTACTCCGACCCGCAGTGGTGCTCTCTTGATCCAAACGAGGGACCGCACCCAGACAGAGACACTTCTGAATTGGTTTTCCATTGAGGGAAAGAAAATCCAGGTCATCCTAGCTGATAAGCTAAACCACCGGGAGGGGCTAGTGTATGCACCTGAGCTTGTGGAGGAGTCAGTTCAGGCTATCCTGGATGAAAGCGTCATGCGAGGGGTGACCATGGTTACACGACTACCATCAAAAACCCACCGTCCGAGTCCCCTGCTGAAAATCAGGTTCGCTGCCATGCTCCTCCCCTCCCACTTCTACGCTGCCTTCCTACGTTACGAGGTACGACCTTGTATCCCCCTACCACGCAGGTGTGGGCAGTGCCGGCAGTGCCTGAGGTATGGACATGGCAAAAACACCTGTCGGAGCCGCACTCGATGCGCACGCTGCTCTGAGGACCACTCGTCCGAAGGATGCACCGCCCCGCCCCGCTGTGCAGCATGTCAGGGACCACACCCTGTGACGGATAAAAAATGTCCTGTCTGGATGGAAATGGCTGCCGCCCTCCGTGCTGAGACTCAGAATCCCACCACCAGGAGTCCGGACGTGTGGCCGAGCCTCCCGACCCCTCGAGCCCCTACAGGCAAGGATCGGCCATCCACGGTCACCACTGGCACCCAAACGGATCCGGCCCAGCCGAGCGCGAACCAAGCGTCCCCTCCTCATGCCCCCCTGCCGGCCCCAGAGGAGACTCGTCCTCCCGCAGTGTCCGCCGGAGTCCAGCACTCGCACGCACCGCCCACCATGCAGCTGCGCCCACCCGGTAGGGCCATCGAAGAGAATCACTCACTCCCATTACCCACCGAGGAGCCAAGCTCTCCTCCGTCAACCACCGAGGGACAGAGTCCGCCAACACCGCGCGAGGAAGGACACTTCTCCACCTCGATCATCAAAGAGCAGCGCACAGCGATGCTTCCGAACGCAGCCGCGTCCCCCGCCAAACAACAGCCATCGAACACTGAAAACGCCCGAACGGAGACGTATAGCGAGAACGACACTGGGGACGAGTCGCTGACGCAGTTCAGCCCTGAAAGAAACAAAGCGGAGGCCCCCACTGTGCCCGTACAAGCGACCCCGTTCCCCGCCTCTCACCACACCCAGGCCCCGAAAGCGTCACAAGGCCCACTTTTTGGCTCCGATGACGACACTTTCGACTCCGCCAACACTAGTAGTGACAACGAGGAAACCCCGAAGCTACTCGCCATGACCCCAATGTCACGACTACCGTCAGCCACCTCTGACAGCGAATCTGACACTTCAACCCTTCCCGATCCGCGACCGAACACCCGCCTCCGAGCTCGGTCATCAAGGGAGCGGAAAAACATGGGCATCAGATCTCAACCCGTGACTAAGCGGGCTTCCGTTCCAGAAGAAAGCGCGTAGAAGGCTAAAGAGGAAGAAAGTTAGCTATGGCTAGGGACATGCTACTCCAGTGGAACGTAGGAGGGCTGCTAACGCACCTATCTGAATTTAAACAATATTTGCGGAAAGAATCCCCTCTGGTAGCAGCCATTCAAGAAACGCACTTTCGGGATTCTGATAACTACAATTATAATGTTTCTGGCTACACCCTTTATAGACACGACATAAATCATACTAATCGACAAGGAGGTGTGGCCCTATACATAGCTAACGCAGTTCCACAACGGCAAACAAACTTGACTACACCACTCAACATCGTTGCGGCTACTGTGTCACTTTTCAATCGCGACATCCTAATTGCTTCTCTCTACCTACCACCTAACTCTCCTCTAATCACACGACATGCTATGGACCAATTGCTAGCTCAAATGCCTGATAATTGTCTACTTCTTGGTGACTTTAACGCCCACAACCCTTTGTGGGGCAGCCGGCTTTTGTCGGTGCGCGGAAGGATAGTCGAGGCTGAGCTTAACCGGCGATCACTGGTGTGCCTGAACAGTGGCAGGCCCACATACCTTAGTCATAGTTACCACACAACATCAATGATCGATCTTTCTATCGCTTCTCCCCGCGTAGCACCACTCTTCAATTGGAATGTAACTTCAGATCCTCTCTTTTCCGATCATTTTCCTATCGACATAAGTCTTACGATTAGCAATATTTTACCTCGCGCGCTGACTTTGAAAATGTGGCAAACAAATAACGCTAATTGGGACGCATTTAACACGAGTATAAGCCACAATACGTCTAATAGTATTCATCAAACTGTAGATAGCTTTATGAACGCAGTAGTACTTTCAGCCAAAAAGACTTTGCGAGAAAAGAATGTAACAACCGGTTCTTCAAATAGGCCAAAAAATGTAATATGGTGGAATTGGAAATGCCAGCGAGCGAAAGCTATTAGAAAAAGAGCATTCCGAAACTTTCAAAAATGTATTTGCGATAGACATGCGGAACTATACACAGCTGCACGAAAGGAATGTTCTAAAGTAATCTACGCAGAAAAAAAGGCAGCGTGGGAAGAGTATGCATCCAAGTGTAACAGATTCACACCACTGGCCGAACTTTGGGGAAATGTGCGCTCTTTCGCTTCTCGAAAAACCCATCTCAGAGTCTTTCCACAGCTGCTCTCCAACGGTGTCTTCGTAACTGATCCACTCGCTGTTACCAACCTATTCGCAAAACATTTCGCCGACGTATCTTCCTCGAATCAGTGGCGGCGGAAGCGGGGGGGCAGCGGGGGCACGGCGCCCCCCCATCTCCCAGGGTGGGGGGGCAAACATATCTTTTTGCCCCCGCAAAATTGTTTTCGATAAAATACCACAATACTTCGATACTACGTCATGAACGTATGCCAGTTTGGCTGAGTACGTTTTTAATAAGTTGATAGTGCGAGTAATTTAGATTTATATTGTTGCCAGGCCCAATGTCATAGTAAACATTTTGATTTGATTGGCTAGCATTTTGCAACGCGAGTGCTACCAACCAAGAAGGTTTGCAGTAATTGGCTAACTTGAATGACGTCATTGGTTCAAAGGAAACAAGTTGTTCTGCCTTCGAATGTGGATGCGGCAATTGTGGCAATCGAAAAATCGCGGGGATAGCGCCCCCGATGTACCTATATGCCTGCTCGGTGTATTTGGCGAGAAAACCGGAGTGGACAAGACCGCGGATATCGACGCTGACCTGCTAGTGGCCCAGCTGAGGTGTGCTCACGCTAGTGGACTTCTCCGCAATGAGACTGGTTCGGTTGCCGAACTATGTGAGACTTTCTTTGGAAAGGGTGAGGTGGTGAAGGGGATGGTCAGCGAGGTACTTAAACTAGCGCAACTCATCATGACTGTGCCGATGTCCGCAGCGACAGCTGAAAGATCGTTCTCAACTTTGCGCAGAATCAAAACCGACTTGCGCTCCACAATCGGCCAGAAGCGACTGTGCAGCCTCATGCTTCTAAGCCTCCATGAGGATATAGCGAAAGGTCTGGACCCTGAGCTCATCCTATCAGAGTTCGTGCGCAACCATCCCCAGAAAAGAGTGCCAGTGTTCGGGGCATGGTAGTTGATGGCTGCTCCGCGTCACTTTAGTGTATGTGATGCAGTGCATGGGTGTATGTGATACACGTTTGTCTGGTCTCTGGCGAATAAAAGTTTAGCTTTCGCTATATTCTCGAAAAGCCGCAAAATATCCTGGATTTCGGGCGACGCGGGGGTAGTTGCCCCAAATGCCCCCCCCCCCTGGATCCGCCAGTGGTGTCAGGTAGCCTACCATTTATTAAAAAAAAAAAATATATTTAAAAAAATATCGTATCAGGGCTGTGACGAAAAGTAAGTGGCCTAAATCCGATGAGAAAACAGGATTTGGGGGTACCCTAGGTTTGTCTCCGTAGCCCCCTCCCGCGCCCAAGCCCTGGATCCGCCAGCGGTGCCCCCCCATCCCAAATTACCTTCCGCCGCCACTGCCTCGAATATCTACTCTCCTAATGTTCACCGGTCTCTAACAGCAAAAACAGCGCGACTTGACTTTTCCTCTACAAACTCCGAATCCTCTAACGCTCCTTTCACCCTCTATGAACTTAAACTATCCCTAGCTAAGACGAGAACTAAAACATCAGTTGGCCCAGATGGTGTTCCCTATTCCTTTTTTACCAATCTTAACGAATTAAACCTTTCTACACTCTTGACTGTTTTCAATGATATGTGGCTAAGCGACTCCTTTCCGGATGGCTGGCTTAGCAGTACAATTATTCCCATCCTCAAACCCGGTAAGGATAGTAGCCTAGCAGGTTCCTATCGTCTCATCGCCCTTACCAATTGTATTTGCAAAGTGTTTGAGAGAATGGTGAATACACGTCTCCGATTCTTCCTTGAGAGCAAGTGCATCATCGACAGCTGTCAAAGTGGTTTTCGCAGAGACCGAAGCACGGCGGATAACGTGCTGCGTCTTATTACTGACGTCCAAACAAACTGGGAGCGTCGTCTGCCGACTGTCGCGGTGTTCCTGGACCTCGTGGCGGCTTTCGACAAGGTACATACTTCCACCATTATTTACAAACTACACTCCCTCGTAATTAAAGGCCACCTGGCAGCTTTTCTACGCAACTTTCTCATGCCCAGAACTTTTCGAGTTCGATGTCAAACGACATATTCGGACAGCTTCCCGATGGAACACGGCGTACCCCAAGGTAGTGTGTTGTCGCCAACGCTTTTTCTGATCGCTCTAAACGATATCCTCCTGACGCTCCCGCGCGTACTGACTTTTTCAGTACGATATTCTTTGTTTGCTGATGATATTGCTCTATGGGTCACACACAAAAATTACAAGAGGGCGTACTTCATCCTCCAAGCAGCTATCGACCACTGCGTCAACTGGTGCATGGAATGGGGGTTCTTCCTATCTGCTCCCAAATCTGCCATGATCGTCTTCAAACGTGGACCACCCCCGTCCCTGAATGACTCGCCTCGAATTGAGGGAACAGCTATTCCGTTTCATGAGTCTCATAAATTTCTAGGAATCATACTAGACTCAAAACTGACCTTCAGGCTTCACGTTGATCACATAAGAGCACGTTGCATCAAAAGACTTAACGTTCTAAGGTGTATCAGTGGCTTTTCCTGGGGTGCTGACAGAAAAACTCTATCGATGTTGTATATTGGCCTCATTAGATCAACTATTGAATACAACTGCTATCTATTTAACACAATCTCGCCCACATTGTGCAAAAGGCTGGAAGCCGTTCAGTCTACGTGCCTGAGGCTGATAACCGGGGCTTTTCGCACCACCCCCGTCCTCGCCCTACGAGCAGAATCCGCCCTACCTGCACTTAAAGACCGACGCCTCTACTTACTAATGCGTTACTACTATCGTGCGAAAAGCGTTCAAAACCACTTATCTATACCCGCAATAGAGCGAAGAAAGCCTCGAACGCGGCGACCGCTACGAGGATCCTGCTTTCTCCCTGATTCTCTTTAGGAAGCGCACACATCTTTCAACATGTGCCGGTTTGACGTTGCTCGCAAACCCCCTCCTACGCCCTTCTGGACCCGTAGAAACCCAACAATAGAATTTCTTTTCGACGACTGCAAAGAGTATATATCACCATTAGAGAGTGTTATGCTTCTTCAAAGCTACATGGAACAAAACGACGATTCAGCCTTTTTCTACACCGATGGCTCGTGCACAGACAATAAGGCTGGTTCTGCAGCCGTGGGACAAGGATTCGAATTCAAAGCTCGCCTCCCTGATTACAGCACCATCTTTACTGCAGAGGTATATGCGATAAGAAAAGTCCTCGCATACATCAAATCGGAAAATATCGAACGTGCTACGATATGCACTGACTCTAAATCGACACTTCAGGCCCTCAAACGGAAAGAAAACGTTACCCATCACGGCATCCATAATATCCACGAAATACTTCTGGAACTGACGGCAGCACAGCATGTTACTTTCCTATGGATACCCAGCCATCACGGCATTGCTGGTAATGAACGAGCGGACGCCCTTGCAAAGGAAGCTACACTGCTCCCTGAGTCGGTAATAGAACCTATGGCGCATGGAGACGTACTGCACATAGTCAAAATTAAGTTTGCGGAGTATTTGCAACGAAAATGGAATCAAACTCACGCGCCACATATCTACGCGATCAAACCAATTCACTGTAAAAAAAATCTTACAAGCCCCTTGTAGGAAAACCGCTGGCGCAAAAATGAGCATGCAGCGACGTGTAAAAATCGCCTCATATTTAGCTAGTAAGAGGGTACAAGCTTGTTTCGTTAGTAAATGACAAGCCCACGCCTCATAAACCGAGCACCCCCGTGTCAGCCCCTCGTTTCGTTATTCGGTACCTCGTTTGAAAACGAGGGCAAAACCAGCAGATCGGTACGTCGATTAGGCTCAGGACTCGCCTGGTAACCCAACCAGCTAGCGCCTGCTATTGCTGCCCAGTAGTAATACTAGCTCAATTGCGTCACCCCCTCCCCACCCCCTCCTTCTCCCCAGCCGCCCCTCCGACTGGTGGACGACCCGGCCAACGACAGCCACGACAGCGTGCCAGCCACGTTACAAAAAAACATACACAAAAATAACGTTTATTACTTATTAGCATACGATACAAAATATCTAAAGATATACATATTACAATATCATAGCGGAGTGGTGCAAAAGCTGATTCGAGTCACCACCAATAACATTCACAAAATAATACGGTTGCATGAGACACGATCGGGCACTTCCACGGACTTTGACGCAACGGCACTTACAACAGGCGAGTGAGCAAGTTGATCCTGCCATGTCAGGTACATTGTGCACTGTGCAGTCCATCAAATATTTGCCATACTTTGCAGATTCAAGCAAGTTTTTTTTTTTCTGGACGAGGCTTACCAACAGAAATATCGCTGGCTTCCGGTATGCCTTCATGCCTCAGTCTCCCACAACTTTAAGCAACTCTGCAAACAGAAAAGAAAATTAACTGCTGATTTTAAAATATCAGTGAGGATGGCTTTATTATCTACATCAACTGACTTTTGTATAAGATAAATCAATGTGAGGCAATATGTGTAGCTTACACATTTGGAAAAAAGGCTAGACAGCAACTGAAAGAAAGTCCGTCTTCCAACAGTCGGAATTCAAACGAAACAGTGGCCCACAACGGTCAAGGGGTGAATTCTATGACGCAACATGTGTTCAGAATATTACAAAATAAATAAAATGTCCCCCATTGCTACGTAAATATCATACAATATAACGTACCTTCGAAATATCCCAGCCCGAGAACTTCACAACGCACCGTGCCACAACACAACCGCACCAACCGCCGGCAGCCGCAGAACTGAACAATGGCGGCCGGAAATGACGGCCCCGCGCCGGAAATGAAGGACGCGTTTTAGAAGCAGTCTCAGACTCGTCGCTGCTCACCGTAGCAGGGATTTATGAGGCACTACCGAATCAAAGTCGTTTCGCCTCATTCGGCAACACGAAAACCCTACCAGGACTAGTCCGATGATGAGTTTCCGACTAGGTGGCGTGTGCGCAGGATTATATTTAACCCGCGAGTTGCTGGGGGGGGGGGGCGTTAAACGCCCCCACTTTTTTCGCCGGGCCATAGCATAAAAACGGCGCGCCGCAGGCGCGCCAAATTTTGGGTACCTGTAGGAAATTGATTGAAGTTTATTGTTACAAAGTTTCAAAAAAATCGGTCGGAAAATTTTTGAGATATCGAGGTTTTAGTGACGTCATGATTTCTGAGTTTTCGACCAAAAACGGCATACGTTAAAAAAATCATATAAAATCACAGAATAGACATACAGACATGCCGTAAACGCCATTAGACTGCCAATACCATGATCAATCAAATAGCTATCTTCGATTATTGATTATCGTTCCGCATTTTCCAAAATCTTGAACTGAATCTTGGCAATTTTTTGTGACTACTTCACGACCATGATACATGAATTTCTTAAATTGAACTTTTTGAGCCAAACACGTACACATATGATAAAATGAATGTCACCATCGTGCTTCTACGCCCCAAATTACCTATAAAACATGTGTCACAGGCTGCGAATATCAGTTTTTATTTTCGGGGATATGTGCCTACCCGGTTGACCTGACCTTGACCCTGACCTATGCTTGACTGACCCCTATATGAAGCTGACACTCTTGTAGGCCTTATAAGATGGATTGTGCACCGTTTTGACAGAGTTTATGGCGAGAGGCGCCCATTGCGAAGTCCTGAAGTCCATGCTACTGAAAGTCCGATTTCAGGTGTTTGACCTGACCTTGACCCGACCTGTGACCTCAAAATTCAACTTTAAAGTACTCATCTGAAGCGTCTCGTCGCGCTCTTTCGTTTGCCGCCTCGTGCGTTTCGCTGCGCCTATTGGTTCTCGAGTTATCGGCTGGGGGCGTTTAACGCCCCCCCCCCCAGCAAACGGTGGGTGGCGAAATACCCCAGCAACTGCCGGGTTAAAGCACGTGCAGGGCGGTGCCTCATTAGCCGACATAATAATAATATGACACGATAATGAAACACGCATGTAACTAGCATGCAACAAGCTTCTGGCGGATTTAATTATGAGACTATGCGTAGTTTTCCGACACAGCGCGAAATCTGTTGATAAGCAGGAAGGGGTGTTAGGGAAGCATTTAAGTTATTAGGTTACCGTTTGTAACCAATTGTTTCACGAGGCCACTCTTTAACTAACAACCCTCAGGCTGATAATGTCCCTATATATAACAGCAAGGTACAATGGACGACCGTGTAACCCACCCCTTGTCATAGAATTGGCTCGTGACATTTTTTTACAGTGAAGGCTCGGAATTTGGCACACTTGCAATCAGCCGAACAGGATAAGAGAAGTTATCCTAACTAGGCTGAGATGCGGTCACACCCGCCTCACCCACAGTCACCTTTTTGACAGAGCAGGCCCGCCTGTATGTCAAAATTGTAACATACGGCTGACCGTCGAACATCTACTAATCGGATGCCAATCATTCCGAAACGAACGCCGGCATATCACAAGGTACCTCGCTTTACATCGTCTAAATTTTGACATGCCGACCATTCTTGGTGATGACCCCACACTAACAGACTTGGTACTCGACTTCATAATAAACTCTAAACTAGTAGATGAACTCTAGCGCGATGACGACTTAACACTCGCGGGCCCGGGGGGGGCGTTTTTGGCCCCCCCCTGGCGAATATTTGCGATAGCTCCCGAACACTTAAGAATAGGAAAGCGAAACTTTCAGTGCCTTTTTTCCCATCAATTTGACATCTTCTGAAGTAAAAAATTTGGACCTAACCCCCTTGGTGACGTCACAGGGTCGATTTTTCTAGACCCCTGCACGGCAAATTTCGACGGCACAGGTGGTTAGCTTCAAACAGCGGCCAAAAATAGAGTTTAAAAGATAAAGAAAAATTACGCGTACAGCGGTGTAGACTATGAAGTGGGAAAAAATGCAAAAATGTTTTTGATGACCTGAGGTCAGGTCACCAGGTCAGGTCAAGGTCACTATTTTGAATTTTACCCCAAAAATTATTTCAAGTCAAACATAAAAAACCGGAATATATGTGACACAGTAGGTCATGTTCTATCGATCCTGAAATTTTCAGGTCAATATCAGGTCAGGTCAGGTCAGGAGAGCTAAAAATAAGCGCCAATTTACGTAGTTCTACATTACCTCCTCGACCTGTGGTAAGTAGGGGAGAGCGGGGCCAGTTGAACCACTTTTTATATATTGACATGCACAGCGAGATCTAGTTGGCATATCGAAAAATGCACAATGCCATGAAAAAATATGCTCTTTTGGCTTTATTTTAAGATATGTAAAATTATGTTTCAAACATATTTTGCTGCCAAACGCATGCTTATAAAACAGCTCTACGCCCGTTTCAAATGACCCCGATGCGAGGGTCAATTGAACCAGCCCATGGGGTCAATTGCACCTATCCTTAACAATGGGATGTTTTCCTCTTTAAGGCCACTTTCTTAAGGAGATATTTTGTCCGGTTTACTTTTCCAAATGCTACATTCAATAGGTCGTTGGAAAGCTAAAAGTGCAAAGTTCCTCATAATAGGTGACATAAAGTACATAGACTATGGTAAAATGGGCGGATGAGGAAAATGAGAAATGTCTCAGGCTATAGTGTGCTTTCAAGCAAAAGGCAGGAGAAAAAGGGGTCAAAAATTGAGCTCTATTAAACTACTATTTCAGTTTAAAAGCTCATTACAAAGGTAGACTATTTCCTTTAATGTTTACAGCCCCTGAACAATAACCATTGCAAAGGTCACCGGGGTCCATTGAAACGGCCTGTGACCCTGTTTCAACTGACCCTCAGAGAAGCGTTTCAATTGACCCCATCCGCTCCCGCCATCTCGCACGCGCCGTAAAGCACATGTCAAACGAGCTGGAGGGACGGCATCATGCTGAATGAAGGGCCAAATAAGGTGTTATTCCGGAGCCAGGAGTTCTTCTTTCAGCAAGCAAAGGTATATGAGATATCACAAAATATTCATAAAAACGATTTCTTCCAAACGTCCCTCAAAAACACAAAAACAAGTGTCAAATCAAAATTACCGTCCGTTTGCCGCCCAAACGCCGTTGACAAAGGAAGTGGTCGAGCGCGGATGCGCAGTGGTGTCGGCAACGCCATATGTTGCATACTGTTGAAAATAAAGCCATGTTTCATCTGACCCCGTGTTTCAACTGGCCCCGCTCTCCCCTACATGCGCATAACCCGGCTCGATTGAGTGACAAATGAATCAATGCCACTAGAGGATACCAAGAAAGATCAAGGAAAATGACTTGTGGATCAATCAAGGTCAAAGGTCACCACGTGACCTCGGTTCAGGTCACTGTATGTAGACACCATTCATACGAGTATACTTGAATGTATCAATACCGTCAAAAGTTACCACAAAGGGCTGATAGAATCATACGAAGTTTGCTCCAGGTCAAAGGTCACCACGTGACCTTGGGTCAGGTCATTGTGTATGACTACATTTCATCTGGAAATAGTAGCAGAACTATTGTAAATACGTATTCTAAATACGTACTGTACAGTAGGAAATTCGTGAAAAATGACGAGCTTGCTAGTATTTTTTTTTTTTTACGAGTAACAGGTAGTTTCCCTTCATCACGCCGAAGTTTGTAGAAACTTCTACAATGTTCAATTTAAAGCTCTCATTTACTGTAAAGGATCCATTTTTTCAGAACATTCGTTCAGCTCCGAGTAGAAACGAGTGGCTTATGATAAGCAAACATTTGATTTTTCGGATTCTGGAAAGTTCTGGAAATTTCAACACCTCGTAATTCAATGCGTGCGTGACGCGCGTGGAGCGTCGAACGGTACAGATTTTTCTAGATGGGCAATTATGAGGTATAAATATGTGCCTGCGGCGACATGTGTCATTGTTCGTCACATCAAGGATCACGACATGGCATCTCGCCGGGAGCAGGGTTTGTCGCCTGAGGAAATCGCCGCACTTTTGCTGGACGAATCCGTCTCCAGTGGTGATGAAGAGGAATATCTCGATGAAGAGGATACATCTGAGGAAGAGGACGACGTTCATCAATTCGTCGATGAACACGAGCCATCTGATGATGAGCCAGAACAGCAAGATCAAGCCGAGACAGTCCAGCGGCCGGCTGACCTGACTAGATCACAGCGGAAGCTGCTGGAAGCGAACTTTCGTCGGCAAGATCCCCGGCCTGCTGCTACGTATGTTGTCCGAGATCGCCGTCAAAATGTGCTGGCAGAGTGGTCCACAGAGCCGCAGCCGGCACGTCGCCGCCGAGATCTCGCCAACATTCTCACAGAGCGGTCGGGCGTGTGTGGTCCTGCTCGTCGGATCACTACAGAAAAAGACGCCTTCAAATTGTTCATCACGGACAGCATGCTCAAAAAGATCACGGACAGGACCAACCACAGGCTGGAGATCGAGCGTGGCCGAGTGCGGGAAGCCGAATTGAGACAAAGAGAGCAGCATCTCTACCAGCCTACCACGGAAACTGAAATTGAGGCTCTGCTGGGTCTATTTGTGCTCCGCGGCTTTTATAAGAAGCTGACGGTCAAGCAGCTCTTTGACCCAGTAACGGGACCAGCCATTTTCAGGGCGACGATGGGAGCGAGGAGGTTCGGCATGCTCCTGAACATGCTGACCTTTGACGATCGCAGCACCCGTGACGAGCGCCGAAAGGGGGACAAGTTTTGTCCCCTGCGAGAGCTCTTCGATGAACTGAACACGAATCTCCGTCTTCACTACAAACCGACAGAGTGCATCACGGTTAATGAGAGCCTCCTGCGGTTCAGAGGGCGCTGCTCGTTCCGGATGTAGGGGAGAGTGCGGGGCACATTCGTGCAAAAAATGGATAAATCCATATATCTGTTCTTTGGTTAGTGCAACGGCAAAATTGTTGATTGTGGTATGGAAAGGAACTATTGCAGATATTTTTCCTCTTTAAAAGTTATCCTCTAAAATTATTGTTTCTATTAGAAAAAAATGACTTTTAATAACTCTGAACGTTTGCACGAAACTGCCCCAACTATGGGGCACATTCGTGCAAGGGGTGGGGCACTTCCGTGCACCCTGCAAAGTTCTAGAAATTACCGGACATTACCAGAAATTTACCAAAGGAAATTGGCAGGGGGTCATTTCACTTGATTCCTTTCGACAAGAATGCATTGCACAACATATGTAGAAAGAATGGGCTGGCCAACAAGAATGTGCCAACTGCCGGCCTCCGTGACCTCGCCAAGTTCGCGTGAATTACTCGTCACGACGTCGCAAGCAGCCGAGACTGAGTCAGGCGAGCGTCATTAGTGAAACCTACTATAGATAAAGTCATAAATAGCAAAAACTAAAAAAATATGCACGAATGTGCCCCCAGGCAGTGCGTACACGAACCTGCCCCACAACGTTATTTGTAATATATTTCAAAATTTCTTGTTGAAAAAATGACACTTTGTCAACAAACAAGTTTGCAGCAGTTCCGTGAATAGAGTGAGCACCTTCGCCCCCAATTTTGAAAAGCTGAACCACATTTCCGAGTCAGGATCACGAAAATGGATGATATTAGAAAAGTTTGGAAAGCTCACGAATATTACAAATTTGCGTTTTTATCAAGCATGACAGCAGGTACAGTGTTGTCTTCTACGGTGAACGAAGGGCGGCAATGATAGACACATTTCCATAATTTACCTTGAGCTCGTGCAGTCACTCGTGTTCCCATAAACTGCTGAAAACGAATGTGCCCCATGCACGAATGTGCCCCACTCTCCCCTACCTGCCGAGCAAGCCTGGCAGGTACGGACTGCTCTTCTACACCGCCGCAGATGCCAACATCAGGTACATGTGGAAGGCCTGGCCGTACTCCGGACGCCCGCAGGAGCCAGACTTGTCGCCACCGAACACCACTCTGGACGTATCCGGCATCGTGCACCACCTGGTACAGGAGGTCAAGGGCTCTGGCAGGAATGTCACATGTGACCGGCTCTTCACCTCGGTGCCACTCGCTGAAGAGCTGATGGCCGACAGGCTGACGCTCTTGGGCACTCTGAAGAGCTCCAGACGCCTCCTACCGAAGGAGTTGACAGTGGCGCAAGGGCGGACGGAAAACTCAACAGAATTCGCCTTCCGACAAGGAATGACATTCGTGTCACACTGCCCCCGCCGAGGAAAGCTGGTCCTCGCCTTGTCGACTCAGCACCAGGCGCCCTTCGTCGACGAGGTCAGCGGCAAGCCGGAGATCATCATGGCCTACAACGCAACGAAAGGCGGCGTTGATGTTCTCGACGCCATGATCGAATCCTACATGGGGAAGCCACCACTACACCGCTGGCCTACGGCTGCCTTCTTCTTCATGCTCGGCGTGGTCGAGATCAACGCAACCACCATACTCATGCTCAACAGAGGACAGTCAGCTGCTGATACGAAGAGTGGCGTCCGGCGTGCCCTCATCTATGAAATGGGAAAACAGCTGGTCATGCCTCAGGTGCACGAGAGGACGGCCAACCCCACTGGGCTGAACAGCAAGTCACTGGACGCCCTCAGGTGTGTCGCCACGCGAGACACCGAAGACAGCAGGGAAGCAGGAGGACGTGATCTAGGCTGCAGTCGCAGCCGACCTAGTGGCAGCGGCGACGTGGCGGCTAGCTGTGCGGCAGGCGGTAGCAGTGGCACTCATTCAGGTGCATCCTCCGCAAAGGGACGCTGCTGGGCATGCCTGGAACTTCTGGTGGGAACTCCTAGCTACAAGCAGCAAAAGTCCCAGCTGACCAAAAAGCCGCCGTGCTGCAAGTGCATGCGGTATGTTTGTGAGCGCCACAGCACTGTGACCCGTATATGCAAAGACTGCAAAGCCGATGGCAGCGCATGAGAAAGCGACATTCGTGAGAGCAAGAATCTTGGAATCGGCTGAGATGCTTTGTGATTTGTGGCATTTCGCAATGCGCTGTGAAGTTTCAGTGTCGTAACCCTGCTTCTGTTTGGTGCATCCTGCTGAGTGTGTAAATAAAAGTTGAAGCTCCGTAAAAACGACTTTTCTATTACGAAAATCTAATCCCGAAGGAAACGAAGAAAACGGCCGAAATCAACGTAACTAAATGAATCGATAGGCAGAGCAGATTGCTGACAGCCAGTCAAATTGAATTCATCACACATACCTAATTGTTAGTGGCAATATTGCACGACGACCGACTTAGCCATGGCCCGATGAATAGCACCTGAGATCCTCATCCCTCTTGGGCCTGGGAGAGGATGCTTTTCGCCCCCCCCCCCCGACTATCGGAATCTGGTCAACGACCCCAAGCTGGGATTTGTTTTTCGTCAATAACTTCAACAAATTTGGTCGGAGAGTTACGGCAGCGTTACCATCGCATTCGTCTTGTCAAGCCGCGTCGAATGATATAAATTTTGTTTGGAAAATATCAAGTTCTATGTTGACCTCATGTGACCTCAAATGACCTTTGGTTGACCCTGACACATGAAAGGTCGTTTATGATGGATTCATACCCGCTGATCACGAATCTTGCATCTATTTTCCTCTAATCCTTCATTTAGAGCCTCTGGATGGCAGAATTGTCTTTATTACTAACTTGAATCAGTGAAATAGCCTCTAACAAGGATACTCTTCTGTGACCTTGACCTCTGATGTGACCTTGTGACCTCGGCAGCCTTGTATCGTAAGATGAACCACAAATAGGGACCTGATGAGCGTCAAAACATTTCAAAACATCTTGGAAGTTAGCACGCAAGATGTACGAAAAAAATGCAAAGTTTGAGGTCAATTTTGAGCATGACCTTGACCTTGACCTTTGATTTTGAGCTCATTTTCAGAATCCTCAGATTCTCTTCTTTCGTTTGACACCCAATTTTGCCGGTTTTAGAAATCCTGCCGTCCTCCAAAACGCTTACTTTGAGATCACTACACATGTGCCGGTTTTTGCCTTTGACCTTGACCTCTGACCTTGAAAATTGACCTGAGGTCAAAAATTTTAGGTGCTTTAGAATCGTCTCGTAAGGGCCTTTCGTTTGGTACCGCTTTTGTTTCCGTAGGTCCCTTATTTACGGAGCTAGACAGGGGGGGGGGGGCGAAAAACGCCCCCCCGGGCTGCGGTGGTTGGGATTACCCCCCGGGCCCGGCCGGGTTAAAGGTTTTGCAGACCCGCACCTCCCCCTGAGCCTGGAACAGCGGCCGGACTCAGAGACGGGACTATGTCGTTGATACTGCGCCCGAAAACTCCAAAAGATCCTTGACCCCAGGCCCTGAGCTCAACGATCGGGAGCGATGTGGCCGGGTCGGGGATCGCAAACAGACACGACACAGTTGCCTGAAAAGGCGACCGGAGTCCACCTCGCCCCACACACACGCCTTCGAGCTGCGAAGCGGCGCTGCAACGTTCCTGGCCTCCTCAGCTGCTTTAGCATCTCTAACTTCGGGATGAGGACGACCAACAGGTAAACCCTAACGTAAATAATAGGGTTTTCCCCACGCACATGTAATCCGAAGCATCCCCCCCAAATCAGCAGAGTTATTTTGCAATTGGCCCCTCTTTACCTTTTGAAAAGTTACATGTGCGTGGGTTTCCCTATTTTGCTATTAATAAAGTGGCCACCGGTCTCACTTCATGAGCCGGGTATAGGGGTCACCTCCTCGCGAGTCGAAAAACGAAAGTTGAGGCCACTAAAAAAAAAGGTCCGGCGAGGGTTAACCCGCGCCCCGTTGGGCTCTGCCGAGCAACGCGCCCTGTTGGGGGGGGGGGGCAATTTGCCCCCCCCAAAGGTCTCGAGAACCACGCAACCTAGCGACAAGCGGCAAACGGTGTTGGATTGCCCTATCAGGGAACTACCTTGTAATCAAATTTTATTGACCTAAGCCAAACCGATGACGTCACAGGTCAGGTCAAAGGTCGAATTTTAACCTTTTACAGGCATTTCAAGAAATGCGTTGTAAAATCGAGTAAAATGCATTTCATTGAAAATCATCGATGGGGAGATGTTCTTCAAACACATATTTTGCTATTTGAGGTCACTGATACCAGGTCAGGTCACATAGGTCAGGTCACTGCGGGGTCACAATATGGAAGTGTCGTGTGATACATGTTTTATGGTCCATTTTACATGACAAATGCGATTATGTTGGTCAGGCAGCCTTTGGGGCCAGCTAAGGTCACGTTTTGGTCAAGGTCAGGTCAAGGTCAGGTCAAATTAGGTCAAATTTCAAAGTTGATATTTTTGCATAAAATGGGTATTGATTCGATGCAGCTCGTCACGGGGAGTTCAATGGTGGTCTTTGTTTTGCCCTACGTGGTCCAGAATTGCTAAAAATTGAGTTAAAAAATTTGACGCCGTCATTTTTGAATGTTTTTTTTCGCTATAACTTGGCCAAAAAACAAGATATCGATCTGAAATTTGGTATGTATATAGAAGAGCGCAGGGTCTATCACATCTATTCCGTTTTTTTTCGAAATTCGGATTTTTAGTTTTTTTTAATTTCAAAATCAATTTTTTGAATATTTTGGGGTCAAAAACCCAAAATTTTGAAAATCCGAGATAGTTTTGTAGCGTCGCTTTTTGTCTACTAGACCATATAAAGAACTTTGAAATTGCTTGGTATCTGTAGATTTGGTGAGCGTTTCAAGATTGCATGTTTTTTGCTCATTTTTTGCTCGAACATGACCTCAGTTTGACCTCAATAACTCCTGACCTAAGGTGACCTAAGACTTGAAATTTGGTGTGAAGGTGTCAAATTGATGCCCGGGAAGGTACTGAAAATTTGGCGGCGCTGCGCGCCGCCGTTTTCTTGCTATTCAGGAAAAACCACAGGGGGGCAAATTGGCCCCCCCCCCAACGGGGCGAGGGTTAAAAAATGATGGCGCTGTGCACCGCCGTGTTTGATATATTTGTAGAAGTTTTATAACAGTTGACCCAAGTTGTGGGGGTCAAACACCTCACCCAGCAGGGCGCTGGTTAACCCATGCGATTTGTAACATTCCCTCTTTCGATAGATCGTTGTCATTTGGATATTTTATTAACAGGCCGAGGCGGCGGGGGGTGCGCTCGGTGTCCGGCGGGGGATTCTACTGTTGACGGCAGGGGATTCTACTGTTGGCGGCGGTCTCGGACGGGTGTCCAACTCGATCGGATCTAGTGAGGTCTATATGTGACATTGTGATGTCGCTCAAGATGCAGTTACGGTCTACATATAGACAATCCATGACATGACATTATCCATGGATATTACAGAGAAAGGATTTCGCCCACATCGTTCTAGATAGATGTCAAAGTAAGTTTAAAAATGTCCCTATCCACCATATCTATCATCTACTGATTTCACTAGCAAATTTGTCTCAGAAACGGTTCAATCCACCAATACCATATTAACCCCACGGGGTAACGTACCCGAGGAATGTACGGCTCTAGCGAGATTAAGCGGTAGGTTTTGCCCTTTTACATTTCCGGTTATATCTCAGAAACTAATCGATCTACTATGAAGCCATTTTAAAACGATCATAGCAGGCTTGTGAACGAACAAGTCTATCGCAACTTGAACACTCAAAAGCTTAAGACGACCAAGATATAGCCTGAAGTAACTATATTAAATTTCATAGATGCAAAGCCTGCCGCTAAAACACGCGAGACCTGTACAAAGGTGAACCGTGTCCACCACTGCGTCCGCCGAATCAACCGTGAATTCCGTCGAATCAACCGCGCATTCCGCCGTATCCGGCTCCGGTTCCGCCCTGTCCGTATCCGTTTCCGACGTCGGCGCTGTATCTGAATCGGAATCCTCTGAGTCCTTGCGGACCGTGGTGTTCGCCGTTTTCGCCGTCGAATGCATTGCCGAGGCCTTGTCTGAATCCTTCTCTCAGCTCGTAGATCTGGCCATAGCCGCCAGGACTGAAAATGGAGAACACAACGGCTGTCAGAAAGCAGCAACAAACGATGCTTCTTCATGGGAAACGTTTACAAACGGCTTGATTATGGTTTAAAGGGACTATCCCACCTTTAACATGGGATTTGAGTTGAGATAGCCAAGTTTGCGGCGAGGTTCAGAAACCACTATCCATCTAGGTTGCAACCCCCGCGGCCTCTTGGTGTTGAAGAAATTCGTTCCCTTCATTTGAAAATGGGCCTTGTACAAGGCCCTATCTTCAACATGGAGCGACCGTTAGTGTGACGTCACCTCGTTTAGTCATTCTGATTTAAATGGGTTTGTTCTTTGAAAAATCGCTTAAAACTTGGTCTGAACTTTGTTGTGGTGCCTACAGAGTAAAAAGAATCAGCTTTATGACAGTAATGTGGCCTGGGGAAGGAGGTAATTTTGGGCTGTGACGTCACATATTTGAAAGTTTGTGTTTGGAATATGGGAAGCCTAAGATGTTAAATGAAAAATAAATGCCAGAACCGTGTTCCTGGTCATCCAATCTATAAAGTCGGGCACAATTTAATTGGTTTTAACAACATTTTAGAAGGTGGGATAGTCCCTTTAAGTCGTAACGTCTTTGTAGTACAGAGCTCTGGTAGGGAGCAGAATGCCTTATAACTGCACTTACGCGTTGTATCCGTGGTTCACGTTGGATCCATACGAGCTGACCGTGTTTGGGGTGAAACTGAAGAAGAAAAACATGGGCCAGGTCAGTCTGTAGCCAGACGATATCGGCTCCTTGTGCCGATAAAGGTGAAGGACAGCATAATAGTTTGGTGAGGTAGCGGATCATTTAAAAACTGAGATTTTTGTTAAGCTTTTTACGTTTATGACCAACTTAACCCTTGCCGGACCTATTGGTTCTCTACATACGTCCCGACCGAGAGGTCAGGCTCGGGTTTAGAGCCACTCAGGTCCCGAAGTTGGTCGAAGGATGTCATATTCCATATCATTCGATTCGGTAGGTC